CTTTCCTTTCCTTTCCTTTCCTTTCCTTTCCTTTCCTTTCCTTTCCTCTCCTCTCCTCTCCTCCCTCCTCCTCCACTTCACCTCTTCAGGTGGCTTAATGACTTCCTCCTCCTTAATTCCCAATGAAAAGGATGGTACCTTTTATAATTGCTGTAAACCACCGGAGCCGTTCTCCCTTCCCTTTCGGAAAACTGCTGATGGGCTGCAGATAACCGCGGCTGAGGGAGTTGAAATTCGGGCCCAGCCACCTTTAGCCTACTTCCGAGCTCTGCCCAAGGTTGTGACTCACTGGGTTTTTGGCTTTCCCAAACGGTTTTGAGCAATCCATGCCGAGTCTGGAGCAAGAAAGCTTTGCCATTTTTAAAGCGGAGCGGATGAATCACTCCCGGTCTCTCTCTCGTAGCAGGGTTTTCGATATGCCTTATTTTTAGATCAATGGGGGTGGTGTGAGATCTTTTGTGCCCTTCTACACACATTCCCTTCCTCTTTCTGTTACACGGGCATTTTCTCTCTCACACGCACACCCATTTCGTTTCTCCTTGGTCTCCGAGGAGACCAGTCCTCTTCAGGCGGCTCCCCTTTGCTATCTCAGTTTAAGAGTCTTTCTTTTTTAGCCTCTTGGATGTTAACCTGTGCTGGGTTTCCAAATTTTGCCCTTATGTGTGTGCGTGCGCTTCGCGCAGGGCTCGGATACTGACCTCAAGTCAAGGCTGGATAGCTGCTGGGAGTGTTTTGAAGCTCAGCTGAGGTGTGGCAACAGCGCGACTCAGCTGAGCTTCGTGTGCGGGCAGCAAAATTTAGACCCAAAGAGGAAGCTGGGTTGAAGTTCACCAACATTTCAAGGTCCAAACTTGGGAAGCTAGTGAGTTCTGGATTTTCAACCAATACTCAAAGGTTACAAACGTTGTACGTATTCGCATACAACTCCCATAATTCTTTGAGACTTGGAAGACGGAGAATTCTGCCCCATTAAAATCCAGATTTATATCATTCTTTTGACGCTGACCAGCAACGTGGCTACTGAATATGGGTCCTCCAAGCTAGGCTAGGCCAGGAAAACGAGACTCCAGAAGAGATAATATGGGAAATCCTCTACTTACGATCACAGTTGAGCCCAATTTTTTATGTTGCTAAGTGAGAAATTTCTCTCTTTTTTTGCCCCATTTTTATGACTTTCCTGGCCCCATTTGTTAACCGAATCATGAAACCATGAAAAATGGTAGTAAGTCCCTTTTTTCAGTGCCATTGTAACCTCGAACCGTTGTTAAGGCGAGGACTATGCATGTGTGATGACCCCGGGTAGGATACAAAATAAACACAGCCACGAAAACAGGCGAAGCCCCTTTTATTCCTTCACTTTGCTTCCAAGCTCCAAATATCCTTGACAAAAAAATTCCCCCACGAGCAGTTACAAAAAGGAGGAAATGCCGTTTAAACTAAAAATGCCTATAAATTATAAAAAGTAAAAAACCCCACACAAACCACACAGAAGCAGTTAAGGGAACCAGGCGAGATAAGGGCTTGAAGATGTCCGCAGATATCGGAACACACCCTGGGAAGGACAGCAAACTCAAAGAGGAACGACAGACTAGAAATGTTTCCACGCTTTGTTTCCAGCACTGGCCCATACGCATGTCCGTCCTTTTAACCACTTCTCACAGACCATGAAGGGGATCAAGGCCCTTTCCTCCCCCGTAGACCATGCCATTCACATTTCTCCCTTCTCCATTCCTCCCTACGTGCCCTAGGATGGAGAGGGGATGGGCCTGGGTCTTCCTCTGCCTTCCCCAGCCTCCTCCACAACCTCCGGAGCCACACTTCCACTCCTTGTCAAGCTGTTCCTCCTCTCCCTCGGAGTCAGTCTTCAACATGGCTGTGTCAGCACCTCTCCTTTCCCAATCCAGGCCAAAGAACCCAAATCTCAAAAGCATTTTGCCTCCTTCTCCTTATCCCTAAAAAGAGACAAAGCAAAGACTTAAAAGTTTCTGGCGTTTTCTTCCTGTGCTGGGCGCAAACCACGTTCTTCTCTTAACGACTGTTCTCCAAGATGGATCTCTGATTGCTTGTCTGATCCTCTTTCTCAGGGGAAGTGGTGGTGAAGTGGTTTGAAGCTGTCCAGACTGGCCTGCCCATGTGCATTCTGGGAGCCCTCTTCGGTCCTTTACGCTTAAATACCAGGTCAGTCGAGAATTTTACAAAGGCAAGCTTGCTGGCTGGCATATCTTCCAGTTTGGGCCTTGATACCCATTGACACATATACACCCCTGTTGCATAAGGGAGCTTGAATGAAACTTTTATCCTCGACTGATCAATCGGGTTCGCCAATTGCTCCTTGAAAATTACTGCCTTGCCTTTTTCAAGGTGTCAGCAGCCTACTGTAACTTCTAATTATCGTTTTGGTTTACTCTTAAAAAAACATATCCGAGAGGATTAAAGGTTGCATAAAAGATGGGAATTTGCAAAGTCTTGCGAAGACCTTGTTTTGGTTCAAAAGCATCCTTAATGAGGAATGTCCCAAATATATATGAGGATGTTCTGTCTCTATGAGTATCATTAAGTGTTGCACCTTATGATTCTTGACGATTGTATCTTTTCTTTTATGTACACTGAGAGCATTTGCACCAAGACAAGTTCCTTGTGTGTCCAGCCACACTTGGCCAAGAAAGAATTCTGTCTATCTTCCATCTATCTCTTCTTTTATCTTGGAGTTTCTGCAGCTGTATGCTTTGTGTAAAAAGCATAAGAATTAATAACTGCTTTGTAGGGGAGGGGGAAACGTAAGATCATAGCAGCTGTGCAATCCATGGCAAAAGTTAAACAGAGGAAAGAATATTGTTTGAGTTGGTTTGTCTGTTTTTTTTTTTTAAATCATCCAGGCCTAAAAACAATCTGGGAAAATAGACTAGACAACTGCAATCTTCATCCAATGCCTAAATTTTAATACAGGGCTCTGCTAAATCGCTAGGATTAAATTGGATTAAACACGCTGCCACCTGTTAGAAGATTTTATATAGGTCGCTTCTCCAGGAGCGAAGGCGACCTTTTGAATCTAAAACGCAGCAGCTTTAGTTTTTCTAATCCCCCCCTCCCCCATTTTGAAATAAATAAATAAAATAAACCACTTCCCCGTTTTTTTATTTCCTTCCTTCCTTCCTTTCCCCAGAAAGTGGCACCTTTTGTCTGCAGAGCTCATCCCATGGGCCGTTGAGAGCGGACAAAACGCGACCTGCATCTTGAATTTTTATTATGAGAAGCGTTGGGAACAAACAGTAGAGTCTCTTCGCCGTGAAATCGGCATTCTGCCACCTCCTGGGATCCAGGTGTGAGCTCCCATGGCTGGAACAGGGGAACACCTGACAGAAGCCACCGCTTTCAGGAAAGCCCAGAATTAAAAATTCCGGGAATTAACCCTCCCTTGACAAAGCCTAGGGGGTTTGGGGCCCTGCCTTCTTCATCAGTGGTCCCTGGACTGTTCAGAAAAAGTTTAAAAGGAGAAAAGGAAAAAGCCAAAAGCATCAGTACCAAACCCAGAAATATCACAACCTTGACGCTAACAAATGGAGAAGATATCGATGGCACCAATGCGGGGAAGATCGAACGATGAAAAACAACTGTCGAAAGTAGATCTCAGCTCCTTTAGATACATAAGAGTTTTGGGTTGTTGTTTTTTATGGCTGAGTTTTCACAAGTCAAACAGGGATAATGTGACGTCTTTTAGCACAGTTCATTCGCACAATTGTGGGTTTGGATTGGAGATTCCTTCAACGTCTAGGATGCTTACTTCCAACCCATCGATCCTGAATCTTTTTCCAACGATTTTCGTTCCTTCTTGTTGCTCAAACTCCTGTGAAGATGATTTTTTTGATGGCCAGCCTAGAGAAAAGGACAGAAGTCACCTTATTTCTGCCTTGAGTTGTTTACAAGAAATCCCCTCTGTAAAGCAGATTGAAGCGATAAATTGGATTACACAAGCCCTTGTATTATAGGGCAGGTACGTATATGCAGAGCTAATCACTTGCTTCTGAACAGGGGTGTATTTTCTCTTTCATATTCGCGATAGGGTGGTGATACTTAATAGATTTTACCTTATGTCGCAGGGTTTCTGGTTCCAAACTTTCTTCTTAAATATCTTTATATATGGTTTCTCATTCCAGTTTTTAAATAAATGCGAAATGATTCCTGTTGCACCTCTTGGTTCCATTTCCATTGGAAAAGAGCAAAGTCACAGGTTTTTGTGTTTTTAAACTATGGTTTATACACGCCCGGTTCACACAACGTACTTTAAACCAACAACCTGGCTTGTTTCTTGTGAATCAAGCCATTGGTGCTTGTTCAACAAACCACGGTTTTATAAACAACGGGCTAACTGAGCACAATGTCCGTTTTGTTATGAATAATCTGGTTAACAATGGTTTTATTCATGGGAAATGTTGTTTTACAGACATTAAAGTTTCGTCTAAATTCAAACACCGGGCTAAAAAAAAAACGCAAGTTCAAAGCCAGCCGTGGTAGCTTGCTGTACAATTTTGTACGTTTGGGGAACTCAGCCCACTGGGGTTTATTCAGCAACCAATCTTGGCTTTGTGGGACAAAGACAACTTTAATGTAATATTAAATATTTTGGTGAGCCTAAGCGAAACACATTTTTTTTCCTTGGGAGAATGAATACAATCTTAGGCGTTTCAGTCAGGGAGGAATCTATTATATATTCCAATCTTAGATAAGGTTAAAAAAAACACCTATGCAAAATACTTGCACATAAGGCCGTAATTACACGGAGGTAGGCTGGTAGCCGTGAAACTGTTTCCTCTTCCTTGTAGCAGCACAATACAGGTAGTCCTCGACTTAACGACCCCAACTGAGCTTAAAATGGATGTTGCAAAGTGAGAAATCGGTTAAGTGAGTTTTGCCCCGTTTTACCACTATTTTTTGCCATGTTTGTTAAGTGAATCACACATTTGCTAAGTGAATCACTGCAGTGATTAAGTCGGTCACCTGGTTGCTCACTGCATCTGGCATCCCCGTTGAATTGGCTTGTCCGGAAGGTCACAAAATGGGATTGCGTGACAACCGTCGTAAGTACGAACCAGTTTTGGGGATCCAAAGGAAAATCAGGTCACCATGGGGAATGCTGCCATGGTCGTAAGTGTGAAAAACGGGTCCCAGGTCCCTTTTTTCCTAGTGCCGTTGTACCTTCGAATGGTCACTAAATGAATCGTTGTAAGTCGAGGACTATCTGTATTTATGTTTTTTCAACCCAGCCAGCATGCAGAAGAAGCAACTTGATGCCTTCTTGTATGTGTTGCCGGCTGCCATGCAAGTTGGCAACCTCACCACCACCACCACCACCTCTAGCGGGGACGTGATAGCCATCGCACTTAGACTTACGTGCCACTTCACAGCTCTTCCTAAGCGGTTTGCAGAGCCAGCCCATCGCCCCCCCACAACCATCTGGGTCCTCATTTTACCCACCTCGGAAGGACGGAAGGCTGAGTCAACCTTGAAGCCGCTCAGGATCGAACTGCTGGCAGTGAGCAGAATTAGCCTGCAAGTCTGCGTTCTAACCACTGCGCCATCACAGTTGATAAGAGAGACAGAGAAAGAGAGACGGACATAGAGATAGATGGAGAGAGAGAGAGAAACGGATATAGAGACAGAGATGGGCATAGAGATAGATATAGACAGACAGACATGTAGGTAGGTAGATCGGTAGAAAGGTAGATAGAAAAAAAAGAAAGAAAGAAATAGCCCTTAGACTTATATACTGCTTTACAGTGCTTTACAGCCCTCTCTAAGCGGTTTACAGAGTCAGCCTATATGCCCTCAACAATCTGGGTCCTCATTTTACCCACCTCGGAAGGACGGAAGGCTGGGTCAACTTTGAACCGGTCAAGATCAAACTCTTGGTTCTGGGCAGAATTAGCCTTCAATACTGCTTTCTAACCACTGCGCCATCAGAGCAGATAGATTGATAGATAGATAGATAGATAGATAGATAGATAGATAGATAGATAGATAGATAGATAGATAGATAGATACTGCAGATAGTTGATAGGTAGACAGACAGACAGACAGACAGACAGCAGAAGGAGCCTGCAGTCCTGGGGTCACTGTGGCTCAGGATAGTATTTGAGGGGCTGCCACAAAGAAAGAGGGAGGGTCAAGTTATTCTCCAAAGCACCAGAAAGCAGGACAAGAAACAAACGGATGGAAACTAATCTAGGAGAGAAGCCACCTGGAATTAAGGAGAAACGTCGTAACTGGGAGGACAGTCAACCAGTGGAATAGCTCGCCATAAGAAGTTGTGGATCACTGGAGGTTTTTAAGAAGAGACTGGACGGCCTTTTGTCTGAAATAGTACGGGATCATCTCCTGCTCGAGCAGAGGGCCGGACTAGAAGACCTCCAGGGTCCCTTCCAGCTTTATTCTGATTCTGTTTTTGATTTGTGCTTTTTAAGCGCTTGCAATTGGTGCTGCCTCTGTGTGCCCGGCTGGCGTAGTGCAACCCACCCTGTCTTTGGGGGGGGGGGGAAGGGGGGGGGGGGGAGAAAAGGAGGCAGAGGAAAGAGGCAAAAAAAGTGGGTCAGGAGGACCTTACTTCCCTCTCTCTCTCTCTCTCTTTCGCTCTCTTTCTCTCATTTATATGATGTGTCAGTCGCTTACAAGGTATAAGTATAAACATGGTTATGAATACATGAAATGGAGCCTTGCAGGCATCGACCGCTCTGTGGCTGAAGTCGTCTTTCCTGCCATCCAGTCTGGTGCGGTTAACCTTGAGTTTGTACCTAGTGTGTGCTCTTGTGTTGTTGTGGTTGAGGCTGAAGTAGTCACTGACAGGTAGGACATTGCAATGCATGATTTTATATACTGTATTTAGATCGGACCGGCGGCGTAGTGCTAGGTTGGTCTAGGTCTAGCTCTCTTTCTCTTCCCGTGAGAAAGCGTGCCATCTGGAGGAGGAAACTTTCCCCAAAGTTTTCTTTTTCTCCTCCCCAAAGTTCTTTCCCAAACGCGGGGCGCTTTTTTTTTTCCTTTTTTGCTTTCTTCTTTTTTTTAAACGCTGCAAAAATAAAATAAAATATTAAAAAAAAAAAAAGACCGACTCTGGTGGGACTCGAACCCACAACCTTTGAATGACTCCGTCCCGTCATTGATCTAGAAGTCCAATGCGCTATCCATTGCGCCACAGAGCCCTACGCGGTCTCGCAGCGCAGCCTGCCCGCCCTCTGCTCCGGCCCATAAGCCCCGGCGGAGCTGCTTCCTTCCCATTCCCTTGCTTTGCATTGGCCTCGCTGGAGTTTGGGGGGGTTGGAAGGGTGGGGGGCGTCCGTGGGAAGCGATGGGGTCCGCGGGACCAGCGCCAGCCGCGCCCCCCTTCCCGTTTGCAGAAGGAGGGTCTCTCTGTCTCTCCCCCGACCCCAAATGCATTGCCACCCACCCACCCCCGCGTTGCTTTTCGCGTGCAACTTGGGGCGCTGTGTGCACGGTGCGTTGCACGGGTGCAAACGCCTGGGCGGGGGTCTTTGGGGAGGGGGGTTCTCCCCCCTCCTCCTGCGTGCAATTCTGCATCGCCCCGCCAAGTCCGGAACAATTTGCAGATAGAGAGAGAGAGGGGGGGGGGAAGAAACCGAGAGATCATCCATCCTCACCCCCACTCACCTGAGCAGGGGTCTTTGGGGAGGGGGTTTCTTCCCCCTCCTCCTGCGTGCAATTCTGCATCGCCCCGCCAAGTCTGGAACAATTTACAGAGAGAGAGAGGGAAGAAACCGAGAGGTCATCCATCCCACCCCCACTCACCTGAGCAGGGATCTTTGGGGAGGGGGTTCTTCCCCCTCCTCCTGCGTGCAATTCTGCATCGCCCCGCCAAGTCTGGAACAATTTACAGAGAGAGAGAGAGAAGAAACCGAGAGATCATCCATCCCACCCCCACTCACCTGAGCAGGGGTCTTTGGGGAGTGGGTTTCTCCCCCTTCCTCCTGCGTGCAATTCTGCCTCGCCCCGCCAAGTCCGGAACAATTTCCACAGAGATAAAGAGAAGAAACGGAGCAATCAGACCCCACTCCCCCCCTTAACGCCCCCAACCCCTTTACGCCAGGGTCCCGTGGCCGGGAACGCGGCGAGGAACTACAACTCCCGCCGTGCCTTGCGGGGAGAAGGCGAGGTCCGAGGGCGCCCCCTGGAGGGTCCTCTGGGCTCTGCCGAGCCGGAGCGGCTCTTTTTCCAGCATCTCTTCGGAGGCTGCTTCGGAATTACGCCTCCTCCTTCTCCCGCTGCCGCTGCCGCCCTTCGCATGGGCAAGGCTGGGCCAAGCAGGTGCAAGCCGGGACGGGAAGGAAACGCCGGTGGCTCAGCGGATTTCGGCTCTGCCAAGCAGCTGGAGGAGGAGGAGGAGGAGGAAGAGGAGGAAGGAGCGCCCGATCCTGAGCTTGGGGGGGGGGAGGGAGGGGGCGCTGCCACGCAGGGGCTGGATCGGGGCGAGCAGCAGCCCAATTCGCCTCCAAACGGGATGCGGGGAACGCCCGACCCTGGCTGCAGGTGGGTGGCGGCGGGAAGAGGGCACAGGGAGGGGGGGGGTGTCCCGGCTGCCAGGAGGAGTACGATCATGGGGAACAAAAGGGGGGAGGGGGTGCTCCCCCCCTCCCCATTTCCTCCAAGCCCCTCCCCCCTTTCCATCCGACTTCTATCTTCCCTCCTCCCAGTATAATTGGAAAGAGGGGACGGGGTGGAAGAGGAGAAGCCCCCCCCCTCTTTGAAATTGGGGTGGGGGGAGTCTTTATAGTCAAACCCCTGCCAGCCTGGCTCTTCACTTCATCCCCCCCCTCCAAGGAAATGAGACTCTCCTTCCTGGGTTGGGGGTGGCTGGGAGGGAGGTTGCGTCCCCCCCATCAGCCCACCTTCCCCAATGGGGCCAGGGGTCCTCCCAGTCCCAGCTGGGTGGGGTTTGGGGGCAAGTCAACAATCCAAAATCCCCCCACACACACACACACACACACTGCCTCTTTCCAAACATTGCAGCAAAATCCCTGCCCTCTGGCCCGGCCCTGGTTACCTCAAAACTAAACCACCACCCCAAAAAATTGGGATGACTATATAGGGGTTTCTCTTATGTATACGGGAGCTGGCGGGACGTTTTTGCCTGCCAATGCCATAGGCAAAGAGTGTGGTTATATTATTATTATTTTTTATTGTGGGTGCATGTTAATAATGCTCCATGTGTGGAGCTTTTGCCAACAAGTCCACAATATGGGCAGAAGGAAAGGAGAAAGGGACGGATTATATGTTAAGGAACGGGGAAGGGTGGGGGGGGAGAAACACCTCCCCACCTTCTCCACACACACACACACACACCCCCGTGGGTTTAAATCATCTTTAAGCCACAGAGCATCAAACGGTGTGATCAGACGGCTGGAAGAGGCTACCGAAGCGCTTCTCCACCCCTGCAGTAGAAGATGCAGGGTGAGCTTGCAAAAAAAAAACAAAAAAATAGCCCCTTGTCCCCCCACCCTCAACCCTGGCTTAGCCAGCATTGACTCCGCAGTCCTTCTGAACGGGCTTGGACTAAAAAGCCCATCGCCTCCCAGCCAGTTTGCTAGTTAAGCGGGGAGAGAGAGAGAGGGAGAGAGAGAGAGAGAGAGAGATCGTTACGAATGTTTGTGGTTATAAAACGGTGCTGGATTCATTCTAGCTGTATCGCTTCGGTGCCTGACTCAGAACATAGAATAACAGTGTTTGGCAAGGGGCCTCCAAGGTCTTCTAGTCCAACCCCTACTCAAACAGGAGACCCCCCCACCAAACCGTTCTGGATAAGTGGCTGTCCAGTTTCTTCTTGAAAACCTCCGGCGACTTCAAATGGACTTTTTCCTTCCCCCGCCTCTCGCCACGATTTCTTTAAAATAATGATAATAATAGTAATAATAATTGGCACAGGGTAAGGAGTGGGAAGGTCTTGGCCAACACACTTCAATAGTTCAGATCACGTTTTGCAAGTATTCTGAGCCATTCCGCTTCTCGTGCTTCTAATTTCCGCCGGTTGGTAGCGCAAACTTCTCTTTGTGGTTTTTGCAAGGTCAGAGAGAGGGATTTGGGGCTGGGGGTTTTCTTCCTCTTATTATTTGGCGAATGTGACGGCAGGTAAAATAGTAATAAGTTTATAAAAAAAAAAACTTCTTGAAATTCCAGAAGATTTTCCTTGGTGAATCCATGGCGAAGTCAACATTGTTTTTTTCAGGTCAGGCAAGGCTAAAACGTTTGGATCCCATTTGAATCCGGAGAAAACTTGACTCTTGCCTTGTGGATTTCAAAAATCTCTGTCTGGGTGATGAATTTAGGGCTCGTTGTATACAGGGAGGAAAAACAGGCAGTTGAATGAATTCAAAAAAAAGTTTAGCTCTTGCTAAAAGGGTCAGGAGGTTGTGTGAACACAGCTGGATAGTAGCAGGAGATGGGCTAAGAGAAGGAAGAGAGGGAAATGCAATTTTGCCGCTTGCCATTTTTAAAAGATAATGCATCGGTAAAGCATTTCTAAAAGGGGAAACCGGCCTTGCTCGCAACGAACGTGCAGAAAATCCAGTTTCAAAGCAGCAGTCGAAGAGTCCTAGGTACGAAGGGAGGCAAACTGGGAGAGGAGAGAATATTTTAAAATTTAGTTTCCAGCAGCGAAGAATTTCACCTGGATCCATTTGTCTCTGTGGGAGACACCAGATGTTACTGTGCTTTCGGAATCGGTTAGCAGGTGAGGTTGGCGAAAGCCGGGGTTGTAGGAGAGGGCATAATTTTCTGCTTAGCCAAGTAGGGAGGTTTTATGAAAAGGGCCCACGGGGTAGGATTGCCCAAGAGTGAAACGCCGCCTGAAGGCGTGATGGGAAGGCCTCAGCCATCTAATCTGGAGAGGAGGGCACGGCCGGGCCGTGTCAAAAGCAATCCTGCAAGAAAAAAGTAATAATAATCAGCTGAAAACGAGTCGCCTGGTTAGCATATGCAAAGGAAGGAAGCGAGGAAGGATCACAACCCCTGAGCATATTCCTGAAGGGAGCAGCAGAGATGAGGACGTGGCTACGGATTAGGTCCTGAGGTGGCCTAAGTGAACAGGTGAGAGAGAGAGAGAGGGAGGGAGGGAGAGAGAAAGAGAGGGAGAGAGAGAGAGAGAGATTCAAAACTCACTAGAGATGGTTGGAAACCATAGAGGTGGGAAGGTAGATGTTAGATGAAAAAAGAAAGTCTGGGATGAGGAAAACCGTCTCGATGTTCCTCTTTCGGGAGGAGGAAAGGAAACGATTTCTAACTGCCATCCTCAAGCTTGGGTTCTCCCCCAAGTGCACTTTCAAAAGGCAATCGGGCTTGGTTTCCCCTTGAAGACGTTTCGCTTCTCATCCAAGAAGCTTCTTTAGTTCTTCAGAAGACAACTGGACTTTGTTCTTCCTTGGAGATGTTTCACTTCTCATCCAAGAAGCTTCTTCAGTTCTCATCCCAGAAGAAGCTTCTTCGGTCAGAACTGAAGAAGCTTCTTGGATGAGAAGTGAAACATCTTCAAAGAAAAGTACAGTTGGGGGCGGGGGAAAAGAGCATTTTGGGGGCCAACCATGACCTGGATGACTGAGAACCTTCATCAAGTTGGGATTGGCAGCAAAAGAGGACCCATTTCCCCAAACGTTTGGTTTTAGAACGTCCTGGGTCAAAGAATCTTTATTTCTTTATTTATCCGTAACATTGGCCTGGAAACCTTTGTGGTGAGATGTGAAGCCGAGGAGATCAGAAGGCCCTTTTGGATAGGCGAATCTTTTTTCTCTCTAGATTCCAGCAGACGTAGGCTGAAGTCTGTAATCTCTTTTGGAGGTTTGCAAATCCTTCTCCCCTTTGCTCCAAAATTCTTCCTCCCGGGCAAAATCTTTTTATTTTATTTTTTTTTTATTTTTTAGGGTGGGTGGCACACAATTTTAGCTGGCGCCTTCCTACCTTTGCCATTGGGACTTTCGTGCGTGCTTCTGGGTCCTATCTCCGCAACGGGTTGCAAGACAGAACGAGGCGAGGAAGGTGCCCCAAAACATTAAGGAACCTTTCTCAGGACCATGGAAAGCTGGATTGCAAAGCCCAAAGTGACTTTATCCAAAAAGAGGGACTTCCAGGCCAATTGCTTATAAATGCGACTTTTTCTAGCGGCATCTAAAGAGCTGTGATACTCAATTAGTTTCTAGCACCCCTTCGCTTTTCTTTAAAATGTTTTCATCCTGTAAAGAACTTTTGACTTCCCTGTAAGGGCATGTGAGTTATAAGCCTGGACAGGGTGGAATTTTTTTTTCCAACTTAGGGTTAAATTCTGCATTTTTCCTGCTTATACCTATGTGTGGGTGTGGGTATATGCGTAATGGTTATCTTTTGAGAGCTGAATGCAACAACATTTCATTTTAACGTATTCTGATTAGTGTACATTTAAAGTGACAATATAGTTGTGTTCTGTTCTGTTCTGTTCCGTTCAGTTTTGTTCATTCCACTCTATTCTTGTAATCTCTTCTCTTCCCTTCCCTTCCATTCTATAGTCTATTTTGATGTCTCTTCTACCCTACTCTACTCTACTCTACTCTACTCTACTTATTCTATTCTATTCTATTCTATTCTATTCTATTCTATTCTATTCTATTCTATTCTATTCTATTCTATTCTATTCTTGTTCTAGTCTATTCCAATTTCTATTCCAATTTCTATTCCAATTTCTATTTTATTCTATATTCTATTTTGATGTTTCTTCTATACTTACTCTATTCTATTCTTGTTCTATTCTATTCCAATTTCTATTCTATCCCAATTTCTATTCTATTCTAGTTTCTATTCTATTCCAAGTTCTTTTCTATTCTATTCTGTACTATTCTTTACCTTTTGGAATTAAACCTCACCTACCTGTCCTTTTTGCAAACCACCTGAAGACTCATTATTTGAAAATTTCCGCTCTAGGAGCAGAAAGTTGGCTTCCAGCAGCATTATTTCTTCTGGAAGGTGCTGGAAAGCATTCGATTTGATTTACAGTCAAATGAATTGCAAATAAATGCAGTGAAATTTTTTTTTTTTTTATTCCGGTCTTAACTTAATTCCAATAGTTTAACTCAGTGGTTTTAGTTGTTAATAGTTTTAGTTAAACTATAATAGCTTAACTTAACACTTTTAAGTTAAAGTCTTTAATTTCATAGCCAGTTTCTTCTGCTGTCTGTGCATTTTAAAATTTCCTGGCTGACCTGAAGTCTCAGTAACTTCCAACTTGGTGGATTTGGTGTTAATGTTCAGCTGGGAAAGGTAGAATTGTATGCTGAATCTGCTTTATTTAAAATAAAATTCTTTTGGCCTTGACTAAGTAAATAATAGACGTGTGAGTATCTGCTGTTCAGAAAATTGAACTGAGCCCAGCTTGGGACCAAAGGTTTTACCAGTGCTATTTTCTGAAGCTCCTGAGATTAGAAAGATTGATTTGACTCAATCTTTATTACGGTCATAACCAGCATAAAGATTGGAGATAAAAGTAGCTATTTCAGAGATGAGCAACCAAGGGAAAACTCAAGAGGGATCATATCTTGCATAGAATCTCCCCTCATCAAAGAAGACTGGAGTTACAATAATTAAAATATTGTAATTATTGTAATAGCAGCAACTGTGTCCTGGAATGCCTTTGGACTTTTAGCCTAACTCTTTGGACTTTTTTTAACTCTTGTTTTTAATCAGGTGATGCTCCGAACAGCGTCCTCTCTATTTGGAGAAAGGGAAGGGAAGAAAGAAGCGAGGGAAAACTTTCAATAATCGGAAGATTAACCAAGATCAGGAGGCTGCATTTCTCACAGTACGTTGGATCCAATTAAATACACTTTTTTTCTTCTTCTTCCTAAAATTAATTTAAGGCACAAATGTAGCAAAGAGAGATGAATTCGTCCAGCTTAAATAAATATTTGCGCAGGATTTATTCTCTCTGCATCTCTTTGGGGCTTTACTTAGAACATAGAATAGCAGGGTTTGGAAAAGGGGCCTCTGAGATCCACTAGTCCACCCAGGAGATCTCAAACCACTCCAGATAAACAGCTGCCTAGTTTGTTCTTGAAAACCTCCGGCGACTTCAAATGGGATTTTTATTTTCCTGTTGTTTTTTTCCCCCCACTTCCTTTTTCTTTCAGGCCAATATGATGCGTTGGGTGACCCTCCTTTCATTCTCGGTCATTTTCCGCCTGTTTTTTGACCTGCCCTGGGTTCAAATCGTGCCAGCCCTTTTCATATTCTACTTGGGCTCCGGTGGATGGAAGTTCCTCCGTATTTTCGCCAAGACCATCAAACGAGATGCCACGTAAGTCACAGCATTTCTTCCTTCCTTTCCCTTTGGGATACAGGTGGATCCCCAAAATTTCTGTGGCTAAGGGAAGCAGTTAAGGCAGCTTTGCCCCGTTCTACGACCTTCCTATGATCTTCCGCCATTGTTAAACGAAATCCCTGCCATGGTTCAGCTAGTCCCGCGCTTGTCAGCTTTGCTGTAGACTTTGCTTGCCAGAAGGTTGCAAAAAGAGGATCGTGTGACCTATAACCGTTATAAATACGAGAGGCTGAATTTTGGACCATGTGACCACGTTGGGGTTGCCGCAGCAGTCGTAAGTGTGAAAAATGGTCATAAGTCACTTTTTTCCGGTGCCGTTCTAACTTGGAACGGTCACTAAATGAACTGTTATAAGTCAAGGACTATCTGTAAGCCAAACTTTCGCGGCATTCTTTCTGCGCCGTAAAATGGACTTGTTTGATAACCAGGTTAAGGCAAAAATTAGCTTGTTCGATAACCAGGTTAAGGCAAAAATTAGCTTGTTCGATAACCAGGTTAAGGCAAAAATTAGCTTGTTCGATAACCAGGTTAAAGCAAAAAACCGAGCTTGTTCGAAAATCAGGTTAAGGCAAAAATTAGCTTGTTTGATAACCAGGTTAAAGCAAAAATTAGCTTGTTCGATAACCAGGTTAAGGCAAAAATTAGCTTGTTCGATAACCAGGTTAAAGCAAAAATTAGCTTGTTCGATAACTGGGTTAAAGCAAAAATAACCCTAACCCTATTAGGGGTTAGAAAATTGGCACAAAGTGACAAAAAATAATCGTAATAACAATCTTGATTTAACTTTGAAAAAGAAACCAGGCTCCTAAACTTTGGGGCATTCCTTTCCCTTGTTTGGTCGCATTTTTTTCATTTTATTTCTGTCTTTCCAACTGGCTGCTGGAAAAGAGCAAAGAAGAGAAATTGCTATTTATTCTTGCACCCTCGTAAACCTTCAGCACGGTGTCCTGCTGTTCAGGGGTTATTTTGTTTATTGATTAACTCTCCCTCCGCAAAGGGAACACTCGGATTTGGGAGGGGAAATATATGCAAAGTGGAAAAGGAAAAACCAGAAGGCTGATTCGGGAAACGCCGGCAGATTGCATCAGCCCCACTGTGGGCCGCCGGTGCGTCGAACGCCTTCACAGTTTCAGGAGTGTCTTAATCAGTTAGCAAAGCACGTCAGAAAAGGCGGACAACCTGATTTCATGAGGCAGGGAGTTCCACGGGCTCGCAGATACGAACCTTTCCTCTCTGCCCGACATGCGAGGTAGACTTGGCAGAAAACGGAAGGTGGGACTGAGAAGCCGAAAGAACCGACGGCTTCATTTGTCGCGGCTAAACAATTTTTTTTTTTAATAAATGTGGCTGGGGATTCGCTCTCGAGACAGCTACCAAATCTTCCCGGAAGACCTGTGTTGTGTCCCTTCCAGGAATTAAAATCTCCCTCCCTGGCCATCTTTCTCCCCGACGTGCCAGATTTCCACCACAACCCTCTTAAAGCCGATGATGCCAAGGCGTTGCGTCCTTCTGGCCCGACCAGTTTTTCCAGCAAATCAAAAAAAGAGAAGAAGAATAAAAGCCAACAATTTGCAACGCTTGCAGAGGTTGAACCCTGGGAATCGGCAGACGCCGCAAAAGGCATGCTGACTCTTGTTGGGCGGACGCCAGGGGAGGCCGACAACCGCAATCAAAATTGTGTAGGCTGGGCAGGGTTTGTGCAGGGCGTTTTTAACTTCATCAAGCAGCTGAAGGTTGCGTTTGCCACGGCTCCTCCTCCGCCGAGGCTGCCCCACCCGCTTTGGACATGGAACCAGACGTCTGGGTTTCTGTATATGTGTCTGTGTGTGATTGTGCAGCGCGGTTGCACAGTTGCTAAGCTGTGGTTGGAGGTGCAGGTCTGGCGGGGTTGGCGATGAGTGACTTCCTCTGCAGAGTTTCCAGCATCCGGAGACAATCTCGTCCAAAGTTGATAATAAAGGGTTGCATTCACTGAACCCTAAAAAGGCTGGAGGGGGAGGGGGAGGCTCCTTTGAGGCTGTCTAGACTCACCCCCTGGCTAAGGCGAGAAATCCAGAACGAGACTCTTTCTGGCCCAGGTCCTGTTGAAAGTCCTTGACCCTTCCTTCGTTTCGAGATAGGCTTTAATCTAAATCTGTCTTTCTATAGCTGACATTTCATAACCCAGCTAAGTGGCAGCATCAGTGCTAGAAATGGAAGAAGTTTGGGGGGAAGAGGAGGAAGAGGAGGAGGAGGAAGAGGAGGAGGAGGAAGAGGAGGAGGAGGAGGAGGAGAATGAGAATGATTGTGGAACCTTGTTGCTCTCTGAGCTTGGCTGTTTTCTTGCAGACGTTTCATGACCCAACTAAGTAGTATCGTCAGTGCTAGAAGGGAATGAGATTTGGGGAGAAGCGGGGGAGGAGGAGGAGGAGGAGGAGGGCTGTGGAGTCCTTGGTGCTCCCTGAGCTGGATGGCTTTCTTGTTTCATGACCCAGCTAGGTAACATCATCAGCGCCAGTGAGTGTGGAGTTTCCTCCGTGTTTATATACAGCAGCCTGCCCTGCCGGGATTAGTGGCCATGGAGTTTTCCCCTCAGCCGTTCTCTGATTAGGGAATTGTTTTCTGTTTGGTTGTTTGCCTGGGGTTCGTCCCTGCTTATCTGGGTTTTGGTTGCCAGGGAGGCAGGAGGTGTTTCTATTCTTTTAGATTCCTTCTTAGTTTAGGCCGGTTATCGAGTTGCTAATTATCTAGCTGGGTAGTGAAACCTTTGCAAGCAGATATCCCAACTCAGAGAGCTTCAAGGACTCTTCCGTCCAACCCTGAGCTACAGAGATTGATTCCCTTATATTGGAAACAAAACAAAACATAATCTCTCCTTCCACCACCAACTACGAAGGACGGTCTGAAAAGACTCCGTGCCATCCCTGCCCCTCTCACCTGAAAAAGACTAGAAGTCATCCCTTCCTCTTCTCAGGATGGGCAGAAGGATTAATCTTGAAAAAGAGACATAACCAAGACAAAAGAAGAGAAACCGGAGTTCAGGCCAGAACTGTCAACTGAAAAAGCATCTCAGACTTAAAACTTACCATGTTTTGACAACATTCTCTGACTGTAATTGCATAACAATAGCAATAGCTGTAGCACTTAGACTTATATACCGCTTTACAGTGCTTTACAGCCCTCTCTAAGCGGTTTACACAGCCTCTGGCCCCCCAACAATCTGGGTCCTCATTTGACCCACCTGGGAAGGATGAGGAGGCTGAGTCAACCTGGAGCCTGGTGAGATTCCAACTGCCAAATTGCAGGCAGCCGGCAGTCAGCAGAAGGAGCCCGCAGTCCTGCGCTCACTGCTTCACTGCAGCGCATTAAAGTTGCATTAGCATGCAGGTGTCTCGAGTCTACCTTGACGCTTGTCCCAAAGGTGCTTCTTGAAAAGGCAACTGAGATTTCTTGGCTTTTCCAGGAAGACGTTTTTTGCTTCTCATCCAAGTAGCTTAATGAAGAACTGAAGAAGCTTCTGGGATGAGAAGCGAAACCTCTTCCAGGAAAAAGCAAGTCCAATTTGCCTTCTGAAGAATGGAAGAAGCTTCTGGGATGAGAAGCGACACCTCTTCAAGGAAAAACCAAGTCCTTTTCAAAAAGCACTTTTGGGACAACCGTGACCTGGATGACTGAGAATCTCCACAGAGGTTTACCTTGACGCTTCAGCACCTTGTCCTGTTTTTGGTAGGACCGCCAGGACCGTCCTGTCAACCCGCCTGAAGATCTGGTGGTATGTGAAACACCGCACCACCATCCCCAAGATCTTCCAGCAGACGGTGCAGAGACATCCGGAGAAGGTAGCCCTCATCTTCCAAGGCACAGGAGAAACGTGGACTTTCCGCCAGCTGGATGACTACTCCAACCAGGTGGCCAACTTCTTCTACGAGCAGGGCTTCCGCTCGGGGGATGCTATTGCCCTCTTCATGGAGTCCTGCAACCAGTACGTTGGCCTGTGGCTCGGACTGGCCAAGATCGGGGTGGAGGCGGCTCTCCTAAACTCCAACGTGCGGCAAGAATCCTTGGTCCACTGCATCAAAATCTCCCATGCCAAGGCGGTCATATTTGGAAGTGAGCTGGCTGAAGGTAAGGTGACCACAGGGTGGGGAAGAGGGAAAAAAAGGAGAAACCAGAGGTTGGATTGGTCCTGAATGGTCAACCAGAGTTGGTTGACTCTTTTCTTGTAGAGAAAAGTAAAGTCTTACATTTAGGCAAGAATAATCAAAAGTACACATACTTAGGAGAAACATTTTATGTTGTACAGGTCACCTTCAAGAAGTGAGGGGAGCCGAATGTCAACTCATAAAGCATTTTTATGGCCATTTTATAGTTCCCAACAGAAAGGGAGGGGGGAAAGCAATGGTGGGATTCAAATTTTTTTACTAATGGTTCTGTGGGCTTGGTGGGCGTGGCAGGGGAAGGATACTGTAAAATCTCCAGTCAGAGGTGGTTTTTGCCAGTTTTCTGAACTACTCAAAATTTCCGCTACCGGTTCTCCAGAACCGCTCAGAACCTGCTGAATACCATCTCTGGGGGAAAGCGATTTGAAAGAGCAATGCGGCAGCTGGGAATCGGAAATGCATTCCATGTATAGTTTTTCAGAGGTTGTAACTAGGTGACTGAAGTTTCTGCCACGCAAAAATCTAACTGGAGAGCATGATCGATGACTCTGGGCTATGGATGTGTCCCATTGGAGAATATGAATTACAATACACCCAGGGGGTGGGGGAAAACCAGGGTCAAGGGTGACAATGAATGATGTGTCTCAGAGTCGGCTACACCCAGGCAGTGCCGGAGATGTGAACTCCCAATAAATCCTTTTGAAGTTTTGGAAGTTCGGATCGAGACTCATGATTTAATTGGGGTAACTGCTGGAATCCTGACAGCAGGCTTAATAGCAGTAACTGTGAGAGGGATCTTGGAGTCGTAGTGGACAACCAGCTAAATATGAGCCAACCGTTTGCAGCGGCAGGCAAAAAAAGCCAATGCAATCCTAAGTTGCATTAACAGAGGGATATAATCAAGATCAAGGGAGGTACTAATACCACTCTATAAAGCCTTAGTAAGATCACACCTAGAGTACTGCATCCAGAAGAGAAGGACCAGGGGAGACAGGATAGCAGTCTTCCAATATTTGAGGGTCGTTGTTAGAACAAGAAACCTCCCAAGATGCCCCACGAGCTCCCAAACGTAGCCAGACAAACTGACCACAATTCTCTTTTTTGTCTCTTCTCCTAGCCTTGAAGGAAATCCAGCCCTGCTTGGAGAAATCCATCCGTCTCTTCTGCTCCGGCGATCGGCAGGCCGTCAACTCCTTGCCTGGGGTGGAAGATCTCGACCCTCTGGTTGAGAAGGCCCAGCGCCAGCCGCCCAACCCACCGGACAAGGGATTCCTAGGTATGGTCTCTGGGCCCACCTCCCAGAAGTGGCTCTATCCCCACGGCCAGCCTGGCACCACCCTTCAGCCTGGAATTCAGGGGGAGGGGAGATTGTTGTCCCATGCAGTCCTCCCTCCCTAAAGGAGGATGAAGGTGGGAGCCATGAAGAGCCCAGATCCTGCTCAGCCTGCAGAGAAAAAATAGCCGTAGCCCTTAGACTCATACACCGCTTCACAGCGCTTCACAGCCCTCTCTAAGCGGTTTACAGAGTCAGCCTATTTGTCCCCCCAACAACCTGGGTCCACATTTTACCCGCCTTGGAGGGATGAAAGGATGAGTCAACCTTGAGCCAATCGGGATCGAACTGCAGGCAGTGGACAGAGTTAGACGGCAATACCGCATTCTAACCATGGTACTACCACGGCTCTTAGATAAAATATAGGATGGCTGGAGGGATGGAGAGATAGATAATGGATGGATCGCTAGCTAGATGATAGCTAGTTAGCTAGATAGATGATAGGTTTTTACCCACCTCGGGGGGGATGGAAGGCTGAGTCAACCTTGAACCCGGTGAGGTTCGAACTGCCAAATTGCAGGCAGCTGGCAGTCGGCAGAAACGGCCTGCAGTACTGCACTCAACCACTGCACCACCGAGGCTCGGGAAAGGGAAAGGCTGGGACAACGGAGAGTTGGTGCTCCAGAGATAATTCTGGTTGCAAAAGGCAGATTTCTGAAAAACTCCTTGTCCTTTGCAAATCCCTGAACGTCTCGGAAGTTCTCCACGTTCTTTTAATCTCCTGAGGTTCTTCGTGTTTTCCTTGTAAACTCCTGAAGTTCTCCATGTTCTTTGAGACTCCCAAAGTTCTCCATGTTCTTTTAATCTCCTGAGGTTCTTCGTGTTTTCCTTGTAAACTCCTGAAGTTCTCCATGTTCTTTGCCCACTTCCCTGAAAATCTCCATGGTGTTCTTTTTTTCTTTCCAGATAAACTCTTCTACATTTACACTTCCGGAACGACCGGCTTGCCCAAGGCAGCCATCATCGTCCACAGCAGGTCAGTGAAAAGAAAAAAGGGATTTCTCCCATGGTTCAGGCCTCCCCGTTTCCTCAAGAACCCCCTCAAGACGGGCTGGCCCCCCACCCAAACTGACTCGGAGCTCTCCTTTCTCGGAGCAGGTATTTCCGGATGGCGACTCTGGTCCACGGCGGCTTCCGCATGACGCCCGACGACGTGGTTTATGACACCCTCCCTCTCTACCACGCAGCAGGTAAATCCCCTCCCTCCCCGAAATAGCTCCCCCCAAGTAAGGCATCATAATAATAATTTTTTAAAAATGGGGGGAAGGGGGCTGTGTGCATGTCAGATTTTGGCCTGATAGCCAGTCCGTCTCCTGCGATGTTTCTTCATCTCTCCGTTGGGCCTTCTAAGCCGGAGGGGTGGAGGGTCGGACTGGCCTTGAATTGGGCTGAAAAGGTGAAAGAGCAAATCAATTGGCCGCCACTAAAGCAGGAGGAAGCTGCCCCTTGAGTAGCTAGGTTTCTCCTTGCAGGGAGAGATGTTTGGTGGGAAGGGAAGGTTGCTCAGATCTTTGGTCCGAAGCATTGCAATACAAAATCGATCCAAGGATCCATCTACCGTGTCTGTCTGTCTGTCTATCTACCTATCTATCATCCATCTCATCCTTCCCTCTGTCCATCTTCTTCCCTTCTTTCTCTCCTTCCTTTCCTTCCCTCCCTCCCTTTTCTTCCTTCCTTCTTCTCCCTCCTTTCCTCCCTTCCTTTCCTCTCCTCCCTCCTTCTCCTCCCTCTTCTCCCTCCCTCTCTCCCTTCCTTCCATCATCCATCCATCCTTTTCTTCCTTCCTTCCTTTCCTCCCTCTTCTCCCTCCCTCCCTCTCACTCTCCCTCCCTTCCTTCCATCATCCATCCATCCTTTCCTTCCTTCCTTCCTTTCCTCCCTCTTCTCCCTCCCTCCCTCTCACTCTCCCTCCCTTACTTCCATCATCCATCCATCCTTTCCTTCCTTCCTTCCTTCCTTTCCTCCCTCTTCTCCCTCCCTCCCTCCCTCTCCCTCTCCCTCCCTTCCTTCCATCATCCATCCATCCATCCATCCTTTCTTTCCTTCCTTCCTTCCTTCCTTCCTTCCTTCCTTCCTTCCTTCCTTC